CCCCAAAACCCCAAAACCCCAAAACCCCAAAACCCCAAAACCCCAGATTTGATAACAAATATTGCAATTTGAATATTTTAAAAATGGAAGAAATAGCCCAAAAGGTTGAAAATAGCGAGACCTCCAAGCTTGTAGTAGAGCATATCATGACTCTGATGGACACCAGTGATGAAATATTTACTCTGAAATTTGATCCAAATGATAAATACATTGCCTGAGGTTGTGGAGATGGGGCAATCAGAGTTTTCAATGTCAAGACCGGAAAGATGGCATTCCTTCTGCCAAACCCTAAAAAGTACGATGGCTTCTTATTCCCAATCACTTGCTTGAGATGGAGACCAGTCACACCAGAAAGTAAAGTCCAGAATGTCTTGGTTGCCTGCTCTGCTGATGGATCTCTATATCATTGGCATGTGACTTCGAAGAAGTTAATGCATACTTTTGAGCTTGGTCAATACGGAAATCAATTTTTCTGCTTAGATTTCTCTCCGGATGGAAAACAATTTGCCTTAGGCGCCAAGGACAAAACCGTCAGAATCATGGATGAGTATACCAAGACTCTAGTTGATACCCTTGAGGGAGGAATGGGCGCTTTAGGACATTCCAACAGAGTTTTCTCTGTAAAATACGTTAAAGAGGATCCAAATCTCCTTATTAGTGGAGGCTGGGATAGCACTATCCTCTTGTGGGACCTTAGGTCATCAAAAGTAGTCAAAAGTTTCTACGGTCCTCATATTTGTGGAGACTCATTGGATCTCAGAAATGGAAAAATTCTAGCAGGTAGTTACAGTAATAAAGATAATCTCTACTCGATTGATCTTGAAAGCTTTGAACTGGATCATCAGATCAACTGGTATGGAGAAGAATTTAAGAAGACAGAGGATAAAAAGCCCTCTTCACTCTATTCAGCTCTTTACACATCAGATGGAAAGCACATTATAGCTGGCGGAGCCAGCCCTAATGAGGTTAGAATCTTCAAAAATGACCCAGAAGAGGGTCATAAGGTAGTTAGTGGCATCTCAGACCTCAATAGCTGTCCTTTGGCAATTGATGTTGCTCATTCTAGCAATAAATTTGCTTTCGGGACAGCAGATGGGTATCTCAGAATTATGAATTTAACCGAATCTGATGAGTAGCATGTTTCTATTTAGTAGCAAAAATCATTCAAATAATGATTTAGATATTGGGGTTTTGGGGTTTTGGGGTTTTGGGGTTTTGGGG